GCCCTAAAAGAGCTCGCTGGAAAGACAGCCCTAGCTGTCTAACATCTCTTCCTGTTTACTAAACTGCTCTTCAGCAACTGGAGTCTGCTTTAAGCGCAGCTAGAAGCGACTAAACCGCAGCACAATAGCAGTACTATACAGAGAACACTCTCACTTTAAACAAATTGTACCTAGAACGGCCTCTGGCCAAAGTCTTACATAGTCACTGACTGCAGATAGACTCTAATGGAATAATAATAATAATAATGAGGCCAGTGCAAAGCCTGGGGTGGTCCGTCTCGGCTCAGCTGCCACTGGCGACATGGGCGCAGCTCAAGCATTTCATCCTGACCGACAAGCACCTGGCTGGCCTTAGCATTGTCGCCGATCACATTGCTTGTGTCGCTCCATCCGACTACGGCTCCGACGCATTGCACGACCTGGTAGAGCTGCTCCAATCCGGCCGCCTCTACATCAAGATCTCGGCGCTTCACCGCCGCAGCCCGCACAACATCCACGCCAAGAAGGACATTGTCACCTTGCTCGCTCGAGTCGCTCCCCGCGCCTTGTTGTGGGGCAGCGACTGGCCCCATGTCGATACCTCCCAAACCGACCTCGAGGCGGGTCCGCTGCAAGGCGTGCACGCTGGCGCTGAATTGGCCGCGGTGCAGAGCTGGCTGTCCGCCCAGCAGCTGCAGGATATGCTGGTCAACAATCCGTGCCGCCTGTTTGGCAACTAGGTTGCGTCGGCCATGGTCCACTGTAGTTGTAGAATCGGCTGTTTCCAACCCACTTCATCCACCACCCTCATGGCGTAGACAATGCCTTCGGCCCATGTCCGCCATGACCGGGCCAGTACCCTCTTTCGTAAATGACCACGTGGTATTTATACCTCCCAAATACCCCATGGGGAAGCCCCGCCGTGAATACATCTTGCACACTCCATTCGTGCTTTTCACTCGACTACCTGCAACATGCCTGCTGCACCGCCCACCGACATGAGCAATGTCGACAGAGACATGGACAAGCTCTCGTGCACCAGACATGTAGAGTCTCTCGACAAGCCCAATACTGTCATCGACACTTACAGATCATACACGCCCGAGTTCTCCAAAGAGACGGAGAAGCACCTCGTCCGAAAGATCGACAGCCGGCTACTCCCTCTTGTCGTCACCATCTATCTATTCAACTATCTCGATCGAAACTCCATCACCCAGGCCCGCCTCTATGGGCTCCAAAAGGACACCCATGTCACCGGCCCTCTCTACCAAACCGCCATATCCATCTTCTCGGCCGGATATATCGCTATGCAACTCCCTGCAACCATGCTTATGACCAAGCTACGCCCATCTCTGTATCTTGTACGTGGCGCCCTCCCCCTCCCCCCACATTCTCATCATCTTATGTACATGCCCCGTCACTGCAGCTAAGTTTTTTGCTAGCCTGGTTGTATCATAACATGGGCCATTGTCAGTGGCTGTACTAGCGCAACAAGTTCACCAGGTGGTCTTCTTGCAGTTCGCTTTTTCCTTGGCCTTGTCGAAGCACCCTTTTTCCCAGGTGCCGTATATCTGCTCAGCTGCTGGTATACTAAGCGCGAGCTGGGCGTTAGAATGGCTCTGCTGATATGCGGACTGTTGCTGTCGAATTGTTTTGCCGGTCTCATCTCCGCTGGCATTCTGTCCGGCATGAAGGGTGTTGGCCAATTGGCTGCTTGGAGGTGGCTCTTTATCCTCGAGGGTCTGGCTACCATTGTCGTAGTAAGCAGCATCTTCCCCCCACATTGAAATTTGCCGCCGCATTCTAATCGTCGTCTTGTTTACAGGGCTTGACTGCCATGATCTTTCTCCCAGACTACCCTGCTACCACAAAGTGGCTATCCGAAGAAGAAAAGGTCGTCGCCCAAGGGCGGCTGGCTGCAGATGCCGGCAGTGATGATGCGCTTGGAGAAGAAGACGTCAGAATATGGCGTGGAATCGTCCAGGCATCCAAGGATATACGCGTGTGGCTGTTTGCGTGCCTACAAATGGCAACAACGGCATCCATATCCTATTCTCACTTCTTTCCGACACTCATCAAACAAATTGGTTTCAAAGATAATACGACGGTGCTTCTGCTCACGTCACCGCCATATTTGTTTGCATTCATCTGGGCCCTCAGTTTCGCCGTTGTCGCTGACAAAAAACAAAATCGATCCATGGGCGCCGGAATCTCCGCTGTGGTGGCCATGCTGGGATAAATCCTCATGATAACCGTCCTCCACAACCACTGGGCCCGCTATGCATTCACCTTCCTTGTCTGCGCCGGCACCTTTGGTGTCTACTCTACCACCTATACCTGGTTATCTTCCACTATACCCAGACCACCAATCAAGAGGGCTGCAGCGATCGGTATCGCTAATTCGTATGCTAATATAGCATCACTGTTTGCCAACTGCTTTTGGCTTGATCAATATGAGCCTAATTTTACTGTCTCTTGGGCATGTACGCTAGCATTCCAGGCACTAGCTTTCTCATCCATCCTAGCCCTATGCTTCCTTTTGCGCCGTGGCAACAAAGAATTCGAGAGGTTGGCCCAGACCACTGATTGCAATGATCCAGATGCTGTAGCGCGTTTGGATGATGACGCGCAACGTGCTGTTCTCAATGGGTTCCGTTATATTACATAGGTGGCATGCAGTTGTTAGACACACCTTTGACTCGTCCATGGTAGATATTCATGAAAAATCTTTATAACCGTACCAATCCATTTGTGAGACATCTATTGTCTTCTAGCGAGCTGGTCGAGCTTGAATAGCAGCTATGAGTCACATGGCGCAAAACAAGGGTTTGCTGCAGTGGCGTACCCTTCGGTCACACACTTGCTACGCTATTCACACATGTCCATCCTGTCAACAATCCCAGCTCAAATCAAGGTGCGCCAATGAATAACTTCCTACCGATTTACTTTCCTTCAAGGAACCATCTATTGCAGCCTTATTGTACAGAAAAGACCTATAGATTATTCGCACCATGAGCTATTTCATGAGACCAGTCCTTCCGAGACGGGTTATATCAACAATTGCACATGTCACCATGGGGGAAAAGGGATGTTTCCACCAGGTATTTGGGGAACATAATCATTGATTTCTGCAGCCAAGATACGAGTCACTAGTTTGCATCACGATTCAACAACCTCATCATATGTAAAAATTCAGAAAACGCCTCTCATGGAATCTCACTAGGTCTATATATCTATGCATTGCGTTTGATGTCGCTACTGAAAACCCCACGTGGGGCGTGAGGATATGCGAAACCAAGATTGCCCAGCGGTAGCGCGCTGCCTGGGTGCTTATTCAATCCTGCTAAACATAAAGCGATGAAGAGTGCTCTAGAGTGTATAATGATATAGTTTGCTTCTATCCCCTTGAGCGTCGAGTTCAACCTGAGTGTATTGAGATCTGATCTCATCTCCCGACACTTCGGCTCGGCATTTGTTCTTTCGCCAAAGGAGAATTTCCTGCAGTATTGCGGCCACCATCGCCAACAAAACTATGGAAATTGAAGTAGCATAGCCAGTGGTATAGACAGGTGCCTCTTTAGCTAAAAAGATATTGGTTCCAATCAAACCTAAAACGAATTAGCATACTTCTGTATATCCTGAGAGAAATGTAACTGCGTTCTCAAGGGACACGTACTCCCAAAATTGCCGGCTGCAAGCATCCACGCAAGCCCGATAGAACGCTTCCAAGATGGCGCCAGGTTGTTGCCCTTCCAAGCCGATATACCAGGTAGTAGAGGGTATATGCCAATTTGGGCTAAGATAACTGCAAAATACATGACAGGGACATGAGCAGCAAGATCCTTGGATGAACTATACAAAATAGCCAATCCAGTCAACAGCACACACATTGGACCAACAACGAATGGGAATTTCCAAGCGAAGCGGTCCGCAGTGCGACCAACGAGCCACGAAGAGATGCCACCGGCAACGTAAGGCGGTATGGACATAAGCTGGGCTTTCGATGACGTATATCCAAACTCGGTAAGAATCTTGGGCAATGTGAATTCGAATGCTGAAGATGGTGCTGCATTTGCCCAAGCCATAATAATGCCCAAGTTGACTTTCCAGTCAAACATGGCATGAAACAGCAGCTTCCGAGAGAATTTGTCGCCTTCTTCAGTAGCACTTCGGACGCCAGCGAGACGCAGAAGGATATCAACGAATCTCTTCTCCTCCAAAGTCAACCAGTTTGCTCGTTCGGGGGACTGAATGATGATGAAAGGCATCACCAGGTCTATAGTTACCGTGACGGCGCCTTCGAGAAGGAAGATCCAGCGCCAGGCAGCAACTCCGCCCACGCCATCAAGCTTGGCAATCGCATAGGCGAGGAGGCCACTGAAAGCGCCGGAAAAAGCCGATGCGGTATAGAATAGGGCGAGACGTTGTTGTAGCTCCGTACGTATGTACCAGCTGCTGACGATGAAAACGGCACCAGGGAAAAATCCAGCCTGTATTGTTTTAGCAATCGTAGTGCTGTAGTGGAGAGAAAACAGGGAAAAGGTTTATCAGTACCTCTGCTAATCCTAACATGACTCGGCATGCAAGCGGACCTGAGTAGCTCTGTACTGCGCCCATGCAGGTCATGGTTATCCCCCAACTGATCACGAGAAAGGACAACCAAATGTTTGGTCGCACATGTTTTAACACCATGTTAGAAGGGATTTCTAGTGGCGTTGAGTAAAATACCTAAGATATTTGCTCAAGTTCCTCCGCGAACGTACCGAAAATGATATAAGGTACAAAGAATATTGTTGACGCAACATTGTATTGATTACCTGTTAATTGAAGGTCACGCGGCATACCTTCAATAGACGCATTTCCAATATTTGCGCGATCAATGTGTGACATCAAGTAAAGAATCGCCATAACTGTGATTAGTCGTCGGTCGATCTACCGAGTTTAATTGACTGAAACAAGGTTGAAGACGAGTGACGCAGGTCAATGTTACATACCTTGTGGACCACCTTCTTGCCTCGCTCCCCTTCAAACAATCGCATAATCTCGACTTCTTCAACTGACAAACCGGCATACTCAAGCTGTATTTCGTCTAGCACATTCTCTGCTTTAAGTCCCATGGTTTTTAAAGACATCGCCAAAATTCCAACAGCAAAGTGTCGGGAGAGTCTATCGATGTGTCGAAGAAATATACGAGACGAAGATGCTCCGCACAATTTAGCTCTAGATTGTCAGATCCACTCACCGGCTTTGCGCAGGAGAATGGGCATGGGGAGGAGAACTGTGTGCGGTTAGCGGATTCCTGGAGCGACTGTGGAGAAGAATTAGGGTGGGGTACTTCCTCGGTGTCCTTCCGATGTTACCATCGCTTCGATATGAAGCCAATCGCACGACTACCGATCTCTGCACTGGCGACGTCACGCGTCGCCACAATGCCGATTCGACTCATGATAATCACCCAGCACTTGCCGACCGTTTACGCTTGCTCTACTGTGGAGTCTGAAGCTACATTAATACTGGACAACAGTTGCACAGTTGAAGGATACTGTGGTGTAGTGCTATGCACGTGACTACGTTTCGGGCGTGATAAATACGGTAGCTGCGATAGATAGAAGAAACAACCACCCCCCACTCCGACAGCTTGAAGCCAGCTACTTATCTATATAGCTTCTTGCCTACTAACCGATTGCGGTTCAAAAGCCTGTTCCCTGACTTCTATCGTGCTGCGGTACCCTGCCACTGTCACAACATCTATCAGTATCAAATCAGATGGCAGCAACTCCCTTCGTTGACTTTTCCGGTCTCCCTGTCAACAAAAATGGTCCTCACGGCAATGCTTGGGGCCTATGGGGTGTCGACGACCAACTTGGGACACTCAATTATCTTACTGATGATGTGGTCAAAAATTCGGCAAAGAAAGAAATTCGCACTGGAAAGCGTGTCTCTCTAAAGTAAGTGACGAAAAGGTATCTTGCTGAAAGTATGAGACCTCTTACAATCATAGTTGGTCTATGATGGGACCATCAAATCCTCGATTTGCAAGGATGTTCACGGAGGTAAAGCTGATCAACAAAGCACCACTGAAAATCGCACATGACGAAGAGGTGAGAAGCGTGACCCCGTAAGGGATCGAAGGTTGACGGAAAATCTTACATTTGTGTCAAAGTTGTACTTCAATACACAGATCAGCTCACAATGGGACGGAACCAGACATTATGGCTATCAGGAAGAGAAGGTAAGAGGTTGTTGTTGACTGTAAATATATCTAACAATGCCATTCTGCAGGTTTACTTCATGGGTCATACTGCGGAAGAGTTTGAAAAGTCTGATGTCAATGGATTACAAAGTATACCCCTCCCCCCCTTTGATTACACAAACCTCACGACTAAGATGAGATCAGCCATGGCGAGGAAAGGAATTGCAGGAAGAGGTGTTTTAATAGATTGGTATCGATGGATGGAAGAGGAGGGCCACAAAGATATCGACGCTTTTTCAGCGTATGGTATCACATTTGATTCACTGATGTTGGCTGCGAAAGCTCAAGGGCTTAGCCTATCCGACTTCCGAGAGGGTGACATATTGTTTGTACGCAGCGGATACATACATCAGTATGATTCCATGTCACCCAAGCGAAGGCGGGAGCTTCATGAGGTGTATCAGAAAGAGAAGCCCAAGAATATTGGGTTAGAGCCGTCGAAAGAGCTTCTAGAATTTTTCTGGAACAATAGATTTGCCGCCGTCGCAGGCGACACGAGATTGTTCGAAAAATGGCCCTGCACGGAGGCGCAATGGCATTTACATGAATGGTTGCTGGCCGGTTGGGGAATGCCTATTGGTGAATTGTTTGACTTGGAGCACTTGAGCACTACCTGTCAAGAGTTGGGAAGATATACCTTCTTCATTTCGAGTGAGCCTCTAAACGTAAGTCTTCTGGCCTTTCTGGCTTTTCTAAGCAGGAGTTGAATTTCTTGAACACAGGTCGCAGGCGGGGTTGCCAGTCCTCCCAATGCTCTTGCTTTTTTCTAGTAATGTATAACAAAGGCATATTTAGTCTGTAGGCACCACTAAAGACACAATTAAGGAAGTTTTCTCCTGATACTTTAGTCGCATAACCAATATCGTTCCCCTGTATCAATTTTACGTGAGATTATAACATTATATAGTTTGACAGTCAAATATACTCAAAAAGGCTAAAGAAGACGCAGCTATATTCTAGGGGTAACTATCATATTGACTGTTGGAGTATATCTGTTCCGCTATTGCTATGGAGCAATAGGTATTACCTTTTGCTCCCACATTGACTCTGTGCAGCAGAACTTCCATCTAAGCTGTTCGCCTTATGCTGACTCACTAATTGAGTTGAATCGTTTGTGGCAGCATGTTAGCCGCTCAAGTTTCCTTATTGCACTCATAGTGATAGAACTTTACTCTAAGTTGATAACTTCATGATCAAGGATCCACATAGAGCCCATTATTCGGACGGCCGATGGAATAAACAGATCACCTAAGTGACCACCCTATTTCTAAAACTATCAGCCACAATTTAGCTTGAAACAACTATCTCAAAGGTAAAAATTACTATGTGTTATCATCAGTCTGTCGCCGCATTGATGAAGCTTGCAGACCTGCCTTTTTCCCAAAACCACGGTACCAGAGTGGTGGTCGAGAGGAAGATGGAGCGGAAATTGACATCAAAGACCGAATCGAAATCGGCTGGAGTGACTTGCTCTGTGGGCTTGTTCTTGTACGTGGTGCCAGCGTTATGGACAATGATGTTCAATGTTCCAAACGTTTCGACTGTGTGCTTTCGAAGTCTCTCCCAATCGCCTTGCTGAGTGATATCGATACAAAAAGCACTGCAGCACAGCTCTTTAGCTGCACTTTGTGCTGAGGCCTTGGATAGGTCTGCAATGGCTACCCTTGCGGCCTTGTTAAGAAATTTCTGAGCGATTTCTTTCCCTATAGCCAGACACCCTCTCAGTAACAATTGCAACCTTGCCGGCAAGACTGGGACTCATGGTACCATGTGATATTGATGGCGCATTTGGGGGGATGCGGGTTAAATGGAGTGAAATATAGGGTAAAGTTGTTCCTGAACAATGGTTGTGGGTAAGTTCGCCGACAACACCAGCTTGTACCACGACAAATTCCAAACCTATCCATGTAGCACCAAAGCAGCGGCATCACTAAAGCTATTGGAACTGGTGATGGTGGGTCAATGGCCCTGGGCAATGAAAGAAGCTTCCAAGTTTGCTTTTCCCTGGCTTAGACTGCCGAGTGGTACATGAGCCTCGTAGCGCGCCTCCAGTGTCACCGGACAGAACCACGACATGTACGCGGCAGCTACACAACTTCTGGTGCAAATTTTATTTTTGCCACAAAACAAGAAATTGACAGCTCCAACCATGACCACGAATCAAAAAGTAGAAGAAGCGAGAGTACTCCACACTGTTCCGTCCGATCTGCTCCCAAACTACCGCCGTGTATGGAATCAGGCGGAAGCTGGTAGTTACACAGAGGGATTAGGGCGTCTTGTCATTGTCACCTCTGAAATGGTCGCTGCGGCGGCGATACAATGCATTAGATCAGGGCAGCGCACAACCTTGGCTTGGGACATGAGTCAGCTCAACATTGCAAATTTCGACCGCCAGCCAGCGCAGCACCACATTGTCGGCCTTTTGGGCAGGCTCGGCTTCGACGATGTGTATGTCTTCAATCCACAACTACGTCACAGTGAGATGGATCGCGTCAGTGAGCGAATGGCATACGCGACTACCAAGACTCACAACATGCCGGGGTCGAAGGCTCTATGGAAATGCTGCGCTGTATCTGGGACACGGGGTTTCGCAGTCGTTGGCGGTGACAGCCTGGCTTGCGAGGTATATCCGGCAAAGAAGGAGTATGTTTGAGAGAAGCTGTCGGAAAAGATGCTGGGGTTGTTTATGCACGAAGTGCTTCTGGCAGGATAGGGTATCCCCAACGGAGAGCTTTTTGATTTGGAGAAACTCAGCGAGATATGTAAGGAGCAAGGGCGATGGGACTTGTTTGTGTTGACTGCGCCCTTGAACATGCCAGGTGGTGTGAGTAGTCCCGCAAAGTCGATGGCTTTTTTCTAGACGCGCGTTGCAATCGAATGCGGTTGTGCCCCCGTTCCTTGGAAATGCGGAGATGCGGGGAAGATGCGGGGAATCCGCGCTAATCCCGATAAGTACTAGTACTTACTTACCTAAACCCCATGTCTTTTATGTCTCCAGAAGAAAACTGTTCACACTGCCCGCGGACCATTTCCAGTCCCAGTCATCTGGAGCGCCATGTCAATTCACATCTGCCTCGAAATCAGCGCGACACCTGCGCTTTGAAGATTATGTTTCTATCGTCTAGCCTAGAACACGGTCTTTTCCGCTTCTATGCTGGGAGCGCGTTGTGGGTTTAATTTCTTGACCCCTTACGTAGCTGCGTGCGATGCCAGATCTCTCATAACTGTCCATACTGCAGTTACTGAGTCAGCACCTCCATGATTTTGCGATAGCTCAGACAGAGGTTTGGAAGCTCAATCCTCTCTCTTGTTTAAGTTCCCAGGTGAAATTGTACAAGTAATGACACGAGATTCATGAAATAACAGTGTATTCATCAATACTAACAGATCATCATTGATCGTGAGGTATAGCACCAGAGTTCATGGACATGTTCTTATTCATTGATTCCTTCCACTGTCAACGTGCCCGATTTACTTCTCAAAGATTTGTTGCCCGCAACGTCTTTGCCGCTCTCCTTCATGGCCCCAAAAGGTGCCTCGGCGTCCGAGCTGTTTCCAGAATTCTACAGAAAGAAGGGTCAGCCCAGAACCTGCTTGGCCACGTCTACGAATAGACACAACTTCCCAATCCAATTATGCCAGCTTCAAGTTTCTTAAACATAAGCCACAAGCGATGATTGTTTCAAGTGAAGACGTATGCCGCCAGTCACATGCTAGTATTGTTCGCCCTTGAGTAACCTCTGCTTCTGTCTCAAACCTTAATATGCACAAGATCCGTGCAAATGCCTCTTCTTAGCTCAGAGCCATTTCGTGTTCAACATCTGACAAAATCAAGGGTTGCATAAAATATCCACCACACTGTGCCATTTCGCCCCGCCTTGAAGCGCCGTTCTTATTGCCAAATGCAATCTTGGCTCTGAGTGAAAGGGAAGGCTTGATGAAGATAGTACAGCCGGCTGCCAAAGCCGCACTCGCCTTCCAAAGCGCCAAAGCGATGGGAAAGTGCTACGGGACTAGTGCAGTCGCAACACTAATGATCTGCTCAATGACAAGGGATCGCCGCCCTGGTAGGGCTAAGCGCGACATTGTGCCTTGTATGCGCTTGGCCTCTCCAGCAAACTACCAAGTCAAGCTCGCCCCATGTGTGATCTCTTCTTGGATTTCTGCGAGCGGTTTGCCAAGCTCGTAGACCAGGATCTTAGCACTGTCTACTCGGGCGCCGAGAATGAGCTGATGCCAGGCAAAGAGATGTTCAGCCCTGCGACATGAAATCCAATGCTAGTATAGTACTAAGCTTTAAAGCTTGATACTACTTGAGCTATACATTTATAAATATTATTACATATAAAAATCAATATATATACTTAATTAAGTAGTAGCATATATTTAAAAACTCTAATAAAACTTTAGGGTCTAACGTGGTTCATGAGCGAGTCGGTCACCCAAGCGAGTCGGTCACTCCCCACCAGCGCGTCGACGTTGATACTACAACGCGTTATGTCTCAACAACACAACTATTAATTAACTTGTCCTAAATTAGATCTTTAACTTGCTCTTTGTAATATCTAATTACAATATGTTTAAAGCTAAAGACGCGCTGCCTCTATCTATAACGTGCCTTAAAGTACAATATCTAATCAACAGGCTGGAAAGCGCCCCTAACGCGACTATAAACTAAATTTAAAGCGCCTAAATAAGTTAGAAGAGGAGGCTATTATTAGACGTATTTTTGAAGAGTCTGCGCGTGGATTTGCCCCTACAAAGGCTAAGGTTCGAGCAATGGCTAATAAACTGTTAGAGGAGCGTGGTGGCAACCCTATTAGCAAGAATTAGGTTGACAACTTTGTTAGGCGGACTGCTGAGCTCCGTACGCGCTAGAGCCGTCCCTATAATCACCAGCGAGCCGCCTGCGAGGACCCAGTGGCTATCCAGCGCTAGTTTGACTTAGTCCAGGCGACAAGGCAGAAGTGGGGTATTGTGGACGACGATATCTACAACTTTAACGAAACTAGCTTTATAATAGGCAAGATTTTATTAAAGTTATTAATCACAGCATTAAAAGAATATAGGAAAAAGAAGCAGATACAGCTAGGCAACCGTAAGTGGGTTACTGTGATCTAAGGCGTAGGCGCGTCGGGTCGCCAGATACCACTGTTTGTTGTCTTTGCGGGCAAGGTGCTTATCAACGTCTAGTTTAAGAATTTGCTTGCTAACTGGGTTCTTAAAGTTAGTCCTAATAGCTAGATGAATAATTAGCTTAGTCTTGCCTAGTTAGAGCACTTTAATACCTATACAAAGAGCTCTACTGTGGGTGGGTATCGACTACTTATTATCAACGGCCATGAGAGCTACTGCTCCATCGAATTTCAAGATCTTTGCAAGGAGAAGAATATTATTCTTCTCTGCATGCCTCCACATTCGTCTCACCTGTTGCAGCCCCTTAACGTCGCCTGCTTCTCGCCATTGAAGCGTAAGTATGGCGACGCTGTTTCAGGCTTGGCACGCAACCGCACCCACTATATTAGCAAGGAAACCTTCCTACTAGCCTTTAAGGCTGCTTTTGAGCAGTCTATTACAAAGGAGAATATCCAAGCTAGCTTTAGAGGCGCTGGTCTAGTCCTATATAACCCACAGGCTGTGCTATCTAAGCTTGATGTAGTGGTGCAGACGCTAGTACAATCACCACGACGGACAGCCGCCTGGCAGGCGCAGACACCACGCAACGCGCGCGAGGTTGAGGCTTAAAGTACTCTTATTTAACAGAGTGTAAGAAACCGCCCTAGGTCTTCTGCAAATTCTCTTGATAAGAAGGTTGTATAGCTAAGTAAAGGGGCTTAGCAAATAGCACATGAGATGACGCTTATGAGAGAGGAAGTAGCTGCTCTTTGAGAGGCTCTAGACACAGCAAATAAGCGTAAGAGCCGCAAGCGGCGATACGTACGGACAGAAGAGACTCTTACTGTAGGCGAAGTACAAGAAGTATTAGCTGAACAGGCGGGTAGCAGTCGTGGTGATGGTGAGAGTGCGTCGAAGAGGGTGCGAGGAGAGCGGCGGTGCGGGCGTTGCAAGCAGACTAGACACAACGCTCGTACCTGCGTAGTTAAAATAGATAGTGTAAGTAATAGTAGCGATTCTAATAATTAATTTAGTATATTGCAATAGTTTATTAACTGTAATAAAAGACTGTAATAACGTGTTAACGTCAACGCGCTAGTGGGGAGTGACCGACTCGCTTGGGTGACCGACTCGCTTATGAACCACGTTATTTCTTTATATAAATTCTATATTATATTTTATAAAATTGAATAATAGAGCTATAATATTTGAAAAGAAGTTTATAAAGTTTCTATAAAAGTTTATAAAGCCTAAGTGTTTCTGAACTCTTTTAGTATTGATAAAAAGTTTATATTTTGAAATTACTTATATGCTTTCTTAGTTCAGCTAGATACAAGATCTTATTTTGATAATATATCTTAAGTAGTATGTTATCTTTATAGTAAAAGTATATTCTTTTAAGTTAAGAAATAAGCCTACTTTTTTAAAAGTTTTAAGCATTTTTAACCTTTTTAAAGCAGTCTTTTTTAAATTTAATTCAATAAATAAAGATTCTATGTAAGTATACTATTATAAAGTCTCTGAGTATCTTTTATAGTATATAGTTTAAATAGCGCTTAAAGGTAGATAGCGCCTGAAATAGTATAAAGAACTATACTAGCTACTTAAAGAGTCTAAACTTTATTTAAAAAGCTATAAAGTATTTTTCTTCCACTATTCAAATCTTATAAAAGTATAACTTAATATTAACTTTAGTAAACTATTAGGCCTTAGCTAAGCTACGTCGTATTTTTTTAATTAGTAAACGTAGATAATAATTTACTTTTATAATTTTATTTAGACTTTAGTAGTCTATATAGAACTTTTCTTAATCATCTCTTTTTTTAGTAGGGAAATCAAGGCTTTTACTAAGAATAAACTTATTTTAATTCATCTTTTATTCATTAAGTTTAAACACTATTACTATACTTCTAAAAGGTTTTCTCTTAGTATACTATATGTAAGAGGCTACGCCTAAAGTGTGTGTGATCAGGTATATCTATACGACTACCTAGACTTCAAGAAGCTTGAAGTCTTGTTACTGCCTTTTTGGCTATGGATGGCGTAAGTAGTTGTACGCTTGTCCCGTTAGGCCCGCCCATCACACTATAAAGTATACCCTATAGTAGCAATAGAATATAGCTATCTTTATTTTTTTAATTCAATATTGTAGTCTACTATACCTTTATATAAAGAAACCTTCAACGCTTTTTCTGTATAAAATAGATTTTAAAAAATATTCAGTTGTAAGAGAAGTATTAATTTATATTTTTTATCAAGTATCCTTCTATAGATTTTATCTACTAGTACTTTATTGATGACTAAAAAGCTTATTATAATTCTCTATCTTCTTGTATTCATCAAGTTATACTTAAGTTAGTTTTACCTCTTATTAAATAGCTCTTATAACCTTACTTTTCTTACTTAGTCTACTTTTTTTATCATCTATAAGACTTTTGGATTTTTTAAATTTTTACATATTATTTAGCCTTTCTTTAAGTCTGAAATAACCTTTCTTCTTTTCATTTGTAGCCTTTCTAGAATGATATTATATTATAA